GAAAATATGTGCTTGACCTGTTGAAGGAAACTAGGATGCTTGGTTGCAAGGCATGTGCCACACCACTGGAACTCAATCAGAAATTGGGGGATGATGAAGGAGGAAAAGCTGTTGATAGGGGGAGCTATCAGCGATTAATGGATAAGCTCATTTACCTATCTCACTCCCGTCCTGATATTGTTGTTGCTGTCAGTGTGGTTAGTCAATTTATGCATGCTCCTTATCAGATTCACTTTGAGACTGTCATGAGAATCTTGAGGTACTTGAAGTCTGCTCCTGGTAAGGGTCTTTATTTTTCAAAGTATGATCATCTTCGTGTGGAAGCCTATACAGATGCTGACTAGGTTGGATCAGTAATTGATAGGAGATCGACTTCAGGGTATTGCACCTTTGTTGGAGGCAACCTAGTTACTTGGAGGAGTAAGAAACAAAATATGGTTGCCAGGTCAAGTGTAGAAGCTGAGTTTAGAGCTATGGCACAAGGTGTGTGTGAACTTTTATGGATCAAGTTATTGTTGAGTGATGTAGGTATTGATCAGACGGACTCCATGCGGTTATACTGTGATAACAAGGCCGCCATCAACATCGCTCACAATCCAGTTCAACATGACAGGACAAAACATGTTGAGATTGATCGCCACTTCATTAAGGAGAAACTCACTAGTGGTACCATTTGTACTCCTTTTGTCTAGTCTGGTGAACAACTTGCTGACATTTTCACCAAGAGGGTTAGGAATAAACCATTTCATGACATATTAGGCAAGCTAGGTATGAGAGATATCTTCACATCAGCTTGAGGGGGAGTGTTAGCATATTATATTATTATCTGAGTTATTGGTTTGTAATTATTCTAATTGTCTTGTAATTGTTATCATTTCATGACATATTATATTATTATCTTGTAATTGTCTCCTCTTGTAATTGTTACAAACCCTAATCTTCATTTATATAAATAGGGGATGATATCCTATCAAACCCTAAGCTGGTTAATCCCTACAAGCTTCAGTAATATGGGTCAATGTGAACCTCGTAAGTTGAATTTCAGTTGTACGGACGGCATGGAAGACAATACGTACGATCGGGTATGTGTTTCATGGTCCACTACTATTTTTTGTATGGTATTTATGACATTATGTTTGAACTTACTAATGATATTTTGTTATTATGTATCATAAGGTGGCGCAAGGTCAATCCTACTATTTTCCTTGTATGGATGGGACACAAGAGAGTGCATTGCAAATGGTGGACAAAATTGGAAGCTCATCTTTGAGTGAATCAGGAATGGCGAATATAAATGGTTCAACTTTTGTGGACTTGAATATAGATGTGGATCCAAATGCTCCATTTTTTTCTTAGTTTCATACTATGGTACTTATCACTTTCGTTTGCAAACTTGCGATAGTTACTTTTGTGGACTTGAATATAAATGTGGATCCTATCGCCCCAAATTGTGAACTTATGTTTGTAAACCTATGGTATTTTTGATTCTGAACAGATTCTGTCAAGTTTTTGAACAGATTTTGATTCTGAACAGATTCACAAGATGGAAATTTTAAACAACCATAAAGTATAAACCATGCTCTTTTATACAAACAAAATTTGATATTTGAAATCAGAGGCATATTTAATGTATTCACAAGCCCATTTATTCACTTTTATGGCTAAAATTTGAAACCTAAGGGAATTTATTTAATTTCCCTTGGCTCAATAAACTCCCACCACAACAGGTGACTTGATCAGCATAACTACATATGTAAATGCTCTAATTTATCAGCCCAGCACATGCAGTATGCAACCATTGATTAGGTATCCTAAAGAGATAACCTAGATGAAAGCCCCGACATAAGAAAACATAATTTCATAACTATTCAGGCCTATCATGATAAACCAAAGGGAAAAGCACTAAAAATGAGTGACATTGCTCCCAAAACTTCCTTGGAATGAACATCCACAAGGCAAAAGAAAAGCTACAGCACCTAAAAACAATTGCGACAAGTGAATCAACATAACAATAAAAAATTGAAGGCAAAACCCATAATGCCCAAACCCTAACAAACAATCATAAGCCTAACAATCATTAATTGATAAGGCCAGAAAACATGTTCTACAAATTCAAGCCAAAACCAAAACCCTAACACAAATTGCAAAAAAAATCCAAACACAGAAACATAAACCCTAATTTTTTTGCGATTATGGGTTTACCTTTGGTTGTGGTACCTTTTTTTCTGCTAGTCAACACTGCCATATGAGAATCCACACCCGTAGCTAAAGATCTGTTATGCGAGTCCACACCCGTAGCTGATGAGAGGATTTGGACGAGATTACGTGCTCGAGGAGAGAGTGAGTAGAGAGAGATGAGAGGATTTGGTTTAACACTAATAAAAATAATAACAAGGTTCAAGGTACACATTCCAACCTATTTAAAAACTAGTCGACTCTTAAAAAAAAAAAAAAAAATTCAAAATCAAAATAACATCATTTCATCAATTCAGGTCATTCGAGGGTAAATTTTTCGAGCTATAAAACGTTAACCCTTTTCACAATTCTCTGGCCCTAAAAGTTTGGACAATGTTGCTTATTAATGGAATACGAGTCATTGGACAATTTAATTATTATTTTTTTGTCGGCAGTAGTGGTTAGGGACTGAAAAAATGAGGGGTGGTAATTAGAAGAATAGCGGTGGACCAAAAAAATGGACGGTGTAATGAAAATGGACTATGAAAGAGAAAATTGAAAAAATAGGAGATGATTGTCAACAGTAATAAAGGAAAAAATAAATAGTTAAATTGTTTTAATTGTCCATTCTCAACTAATGGGTGCAAATGGATAATTGGAATTGAGACAATTTAAAAATTTAAAAATTCTAATTAAAATAATTAAAAAACTAGCATTTGATTCTTTACTGAAATCAAACCTTTGGTATTCTTTTTTATTTTTTTTTGGAAATTTTCCTTAAATTTTTTTATTTTTATTTTTTTCATAACTTTGCAAAAAGTTATTTATATACATACTTTTATTTCAAAATCATATTTCTCGAGATTTAAAATACTTTTAAAGGATTTAGTATACTTTTTTAAACATGATTTAATAAAAAAAAATTAAATTTTATACTATTTTTAAATCATATTCCTTGGGCTCTGTTTGTTTCAACTTAAATATTTTACATATTTTTTTTTGTTATTTGGGTGAATTAAAAAAAAAGTAAGTAAAATATTTTTGTAAGAAAAATTTGCCCATGGTTCATCATTAAAATTTTCGTAACCCAACGTATTAATCTTTTCAAAGATAAAAGAGTGGTTTCATTGGCTTCTACCCAATACACACGGGCGGGATCAGAATTTTATTACTGGATGAGTTAAAAGATAAATAATATTTTTTCACCTTATATACAAATATACATATATATGCAATACGATATATATTATATATATACACAAAAAAAATTCAGTACCACAAAAATAATTTCTAATCGGATGAAGAACTTTTTTTGGTAAGAAAAAAAAATGCAAGATGTGAAAATAATGAGATATATATTTTTTATACTAAGATGCCATTTTATTTATGAAATAAGATATATGTTTTTAGAAGTATTATACTAAATAGAATTTTTCACATAAATAGGGGTTTATGGACCTCTATAGTTTTCTTCTAATTCTATACCTGAATAGATACAATAGAAATTTTTTGTTTTAAAAATCAAATAAATACCAAAAAAATAAAATAAAATAATATATTTTCAATACAAAATCGATTTACATGAAAATATATTTTACTTCGGAACAAATATAACATTATCATAAATTTATACCGTACCACTTTCTTGTTATTTATTTGTTATTAATAGTTGCAGATTTGTAATATTATGTTATGTTTTCAATTTATAAGTTGGATCAATAAATAAATATAAAAATCATTTCTATTATTTTATTAAGCAAACTAAAATCATATAATCCATGATTTATATCTTCAAATTATACAAGTAATACAATTATACAAATATCACAACATATAAGGTACACGTTACAACTATACTTAAAAACCAAGATAAATTATATTATTCTCTCCTAAAATTTGGACAAAATCTCCACAATTTAAACATAATTATATCAAATTTTCTTTTAATAAAACTAAAAGCTCCGGAACTAATGCAAATTGTGTAGGGATATATGGATAAACAAGACAAAATATATATTTTAATATAAAAATTATGACATCATTTTTACATTCATATGATTAACGTATTAGAGATGAAAAATAATGGATATGAATTAAATTTTAAAGAAATTTAATATAATTATGTCAAATTTATGAGATTCAAAAGATATTTTTTTTCAAATCTTAGAATCCGACAATGGAAAACTCTACTATAAATACTCTTTGAAAGAAATACATCATATGTACTCCTCGTTATGTCATTTTAGTTTTTAATTATAACTAATTTTCTTATTTAGTTATGACATTGTTTTAATTATAAATCATGATTTTTTATTATGCTTCATGTGATGTTTGGTTGTGATTTTTTTTTTTTATAATTATAATTCATAAAATACAAAATTATATCATTTTTTTCTTTTAATTATAAGTTACATATAGTAATACACTTTTTAGGAATGTGCACCATAATTTTTCTCCAAGTCAATATAATTTATCCTAAAAATTACGTTCAATCCTTAATGTTAATGTTAAGTGAATAAATAAAAAACACAAGATAAAAAGGAAAACTAGCAACAAAAAAGACTTTAAAATGCAACAGATGATACTGTAACGACTGAAACAATTTCATAACAAATTAATCTATTACACAATATAATGATTGAAAAAATGTTTTGTAATCTAAATTTTTGTGATTTGAATGTGTCAAAACAATAACGACATCATTTTAAGTGTTTCGAACCATTCGAACTATATTTTTTCGGACGATCCAACGATGTTAATAATGATGGTAACAAATGATGAATAGATGATACAAATAGTTACGCAACGACTGAAATGACATCGTAACGAGGTAATCTATAACACTCCGATAACACTAGTAAATAGAAGTAAATACTTTGAACTCAACATTATTATTTACTTTTTAAAAGTATAAAACAGTAAAAACTAAATTACGGAAGCTATAAACAGAACTCTACACATAGAGCTCTTCAAAAACAGAAAACAGAGAAAATTAAAATTTAAAAGTAAAAACTATGACAAGTCAACAGGTCAAAACAGCCATTCAACCCTTTAACACAAAACTTTATAATTCAAAATAAAATAACATAACATAACATAACTAACCCACCACCACCATCATGATCATCATGTACCATATGGCCATTCATTCATTGATTTCTTCTTCATCGGAGAGAGAAAAAAGTGAGGAGGTCGTGTCTGACGCGCCGCTGAGTGAGGACGACGCGCTGCTCCGAAACAAGCGGCGAGCGACAGAGAGGGCAGCTGAAGTTGAGGTGATCGAGCCAGCCATCAAGGCACTCCTTGTGGAACGCGTGTCTGCACGCTAACCTACGCACCTTCTCCCCATCCCTCAACTTTGACATGCACACCACGCAATCGGAAGCCGAACCGGCGGTTTCCTCATAGGGGTAAGAGCGAAGCCGGTTCAGATTGAGCTGGTCGGCGAGGACGATGAGATTCGCGAATCCGGTTGACATTACGAACCGCCCTCGTCGAAAACGTCCGGATCGAATTGAGAGAGACCCATGGACCGGAGGATCAGAAAAGAGACGGACCGGAGATAGCTTACGAAATTCGCTACCATTGCCAGGATGAAGATGAACATCGATTCTGATGAACAATCGCTTACATGACCCTGTAACCCCATATTACCTTGCTTCTTCTTCTTCTTCTTCTTCTTTTTTTTGTAGATTGATGAGTGAATCTGAAATTGGAGGATAGAATAGAAGGAGAGAGGGAGTGTTGTTGAGGGATATAAAGGGGAGAGAGAGAGAGAGAGAGAGAGAGGGGGGGATGAAAGAAAGGGCAAGCAGGGGACCTAACTGAAAGGGTAAGGGTGGGGGTGGGGAAAGGAGAGAGAGAGAGAGAGAGTGCACACTTTGCCTTTGGTTTTTTGTTGCGGGTGTGTTCGGGGGTAATTATTATAATTTATCCGACTGTTACTTTTGGATTGGATGTAATTTGTATTTTATGTTTGTATAATCATGAGATTAGATGTTGGTTGGACTATTCTATTGAATCTTATACTTATTTAAAATATTATATAAAAAAATAAATGATTAAATGATTATTTTATCATTTTTAATTATTTATAAGTAATAATAATACTAAACATATTTTTAATATTTTAATTATTTTTAATTAGATTAAATAAAAATTTATTTTATTTTATTTTTTTGTACAATTAAATAAATTTATTTTAAAAAATTAAATATTAATAAAAATATATGTTATTTTTAATTAAAATTTTAAATAAAATTATTTTAAAAAATAATAATATTAAATAATAAAATTAAATAAAACATCGTTTAAAATTTAAATAATGAAATTAAATAAAATATAACAAAAATTTATAATAAAATATCTATAAAAATTATTTAAAAAATTAAATAAATAAAACATTAATAAAATTAAATTAAATTATTTTATTTTTAAATTGAGACATTTTAAATTTTATTGAATTTACTAAATATAATAATAATTAAATAATAGATGGTCAAAATGCTTATTTCACTACCTAATTCCATATCCTTCTTATCCCCACATTTGTGTCCCAACCCCCACATGAGACACAATAGTCTAATATATTTCGGACCAGTAGTCTGAAGGGACTAATAGTCCGAAACAATAATTTTGAACCAAACAATAGATTATTAGTCCGGAATACTATTGTTCCAATCGCATGTTCAATCTCTCACAAAGCACCTTATGTACAGTTTTATATTTTTAATCAATTATCATTTAAATTGTCTTTTTATATTTTTTTAATTATCTAACATAATATTCCACTTATTCACATTTTTTACCAATCATAATACTATGAACATCACGTGCTCATATTTTAAAATTACTGAATAACTACCTTTTGGGTGATGTAATAAATTGTGAATATATTTATGAGCGCTCTATTTTAAGTTTTATTTTAACAAAAATATTAAAAAATTTAAAAAATTTATTAAATTTTTATCAAATATTTCACATAGGTATGAGACTCATATAATATGAGTTTTATACTTATGTGATTATGAGACATTTGATAAAAATTTTGATAGGACTTTTGAAAATCTAGTATTACTCTTATTTTAGTAGTTTGAACCTTTCATATTTTTAAAAATATTAAGAAGAATATATATATATATATATATATATTATAAAAAATTAAATTGATCAGATATCAAAATTATTAATAAAAATTTCATCATATCTATTAATAGTTTTTTTTTTTTTATAAATAAATTTTTTTTATTTCTTAAAATATTAACAATTAGAATTATCAAAACAAAATTTAAAACGAATCATACGAATTGCACAATAGTCATCGCGGTGCACAATAGTCATCGCGGTACATCACGCACACCATGTCCCAAATGCTTATGTTATAAACATGGAAAATGAGTTGGTAGGAAGATATTTAAACACAAGTTTCATTTTGTTAATTTATACTTCATTAAATCTTAAATAATATTTTTTTACTCCTATAAGTCTTATTAATTTTTAATAGACAAAATTACCTTTAAAATAATAATGGTTCATCATTTATAATTGTTTATAAAAAAAGTATTGTGATGTGATATTTATTTTAATTTTTAAAATTTCAAAATATCATAATTTTTACGAGGTACATTTATTTTTGATCAAATTTATATTTCTAGAACCAACGCAACGAAAATTATCAAACAAACTAATATTAAATATAAAGTTATGTAAAAACAAAAATATTTTTTTTAAAAAAAAATTTACAATTTAAACCATTTTTCATAGTAAATTTTCTTAACTTACTTGACTAATAATATTTACTTTGTCTAATTTTTTTTATATAAAGTATATGGAGTTAGTTGAGTTAATTAAGAGAAAATTTCATACAAAATTGAAAAAAAACAATCATACTTAAAACGAGGAAGTTACACTAAAAAATTATAAATTTCATCCAAAAATAAAATAAAAAAATTAGATTGAAAGTTATCTAAAATATAGGATTCCTATTTAAAAAATATTTCAGTTTGAAGAATTTTTTCTGTTTAAAATATTAAAAAATAAAACAATTTACAATTTTCTTAATTTCTAACCATAAATTAAAATTTTAAACAAATAATTATCTCTGTCACATATAAACATACATTAATGAATTGAAAAATATCTCAATTATGGAACTAAGAAAACAGAAAACTTTCTTAGTTGATAAAACAATTATATGAAACATTTATGTACAAAATTAAGAAATTTCTCAATTTTTTTCAATTTTAAAATTGAGAAAATTTTCAGTTTAAAACTTGAAAAACTAACTCAATTTTAACACTAGAAAAAACTGAGAATTTTTTCAAAAACTAATAAAATTCTTAGTTAATATTGAAAAAAATTGAGAAATTTCCCAACTTTGCTAGATAGTTTTGCAAACTAAGAAATTGTTAGTTTCATATAATTAAAAAAAATAATATTTTATTTTTATAAAACTGTATTCAATATTGGTGTTGTTTGATAGATTCTCCAAAAAAATAACTTTTATTAAAAAAAAAAAATATATATATATATATATATATATAATAAATTTTTTTAAGTTTTGAAACAACAAAAGGAAGCTAAATGCCCCATAAGCAATAATGTCCACTTAAATTTGGAGAAATTATCTAGTACTTTTGGATATAATCAGGTTGCTACTAGGAGATTTATGATTAGTAGAGAGGAGGAAGCCCATAAGTTTGTATTGAGACATGATGCATAATGTTGGGTGATTAATGGATAATATTATTATGTGGTGCACTTAAAACATCTAATAAATTTTTATTAGTATTCAATGAATTGACTCTTCTCAATTCGTTCTGCCTTTTAATAAGGTTAAAACAATCATATGCACAAAAAATATTTTAAAAATAAGACTTTATTGGTTAAAAATGAAGCATGGCTTAATGAAACATTAACTTTACAAATAGGACTTTTGAGTAATTAACCTTGATATGAAAAATTAGAAAATTATTTTGTGTCTGCGATTTATTTTTAAAATTATAATTACAGTTGAAACAAATGCAATTTGATTTAATAGTTATCGATATCTGATCAATATAATTTTTTATAAAAATAATATACTTAATAAACTTTTCATATTTAACAATTTAAATTATCAAGATATATCTGGAATCGTCCCCACCGCGATCCAACTATCAAATTCAATATCATACTAAAGACAACCTGTGGCCTTAAATTATAGTCTCCAATAATGATATAAAACTTTAAACATAAGTTCTAAAACCTGCTTTAATGAGTTGGCAGTAAAAGAAAAAATCAAAATCAAAATATCACATCGAGATCAAGATGTGAGACACACCGATTACAATTCTTTAGAACTCTTAATTTAAAATTCTGAAATATTTTTTTTATAGTCTCTGTTCCGTATCAACTCACATAGTATTCTGGTTGATTATTATGGACTCTGTAGTTAACGCACTTTTTTTTTTTGGTTTTGAGTTGGTAGGAAGATAGTATTTTTATAATAAATGAGAAAAAAAAAAACACAAGAACTAGAAATCTACATATATATATATATATATATATATAATCTTTACATCCTAAGCTATTTTGTTCAAACTTGTAAATCCCCAAGTGGCCAAAGCATGTCCAAGTCGAAGAAATATCTGACACGTGTCGGACACCAACATACCGCCTTCTTAGAAGTGTCCATACTTCTTAGACTTTGCTTAAAGTTTAAATATTAAACCAGTAAGAGCTAGTATCTTGTTTAAGCTAATCGTACTACCTACTTGAGATACTCTAGTGTTAGATTATTTTTTGATTGAATCAGCCTGTAAAATTTGATATATGATACATCTCGCCAGATCTTCATTGTAATAGATTATAAGACCAGCTTAGAGGATTTATATAAACAAAGAACAATATACATCTTTGAATGTTTTCAAACATAAATTATTAGGATGTGAAATTTGTTTGCATGTTTTTTTCTTCTTCCTTTTTTTCCCCCTTTTCCAATGTCAATGCATCCCCCCTCACACCACTGCTGGGTTCCCCAGCCCATTAGGGGTATTTTTCGAAAAAAAAACCCACACAATTCTTTCACAATTTCACAGTTCGGCCCTTGGCCTGAGAGGTTCTCACATTCACAATAGCCTTTGGGTAAGGCAGAGTCACAACTTATCACAGCAACAACGTAGCAAAAACTTGTCTTCTAACCCAAATTGAAAACAATAAAAACAAACTTCAACTTTGTGGAGACTCATTTCAAAGACTCCAAGCCACATTTATCTATTGGCAAGTCACAAAAACTAAACAATCAACTCAAATAATCTCAATTAAACTGTCCATAATTAAGATTATAGTTCTTTAAGATAATAAACCAAGAAAGGGAGTCCATTGTAGATGGATGCCTAAACAATTTTGTTAACCAAATCATTTTTATTATTATTATTTTTTGAAATAAATTACAAACATAAATTAAAATATCAATTCTATTATATGTGCAATCCCTAGCATCTTCCAATAACTTAAATGAAATACAATTAAAAAAAGAAGAAGATAACAAAGTAAAACCCTAACTAAATTTGAACACATGATCAATTCTAGTCAATTGGTCTAAAAGGTATTTGCGGTCACAATTTAAATGTACGCTTTTACTTAAATTTGTTAAGAAGAGAAATAATTTTATTATTTATATTATATTTTCGACACATGTCCTCACGTATAGACAGGTTATCGTCATAAACAGATTAAACATGTATAAACATTTTAATTATTAAATAAAAACAATGACATTCGAATGTAAAATTTGTTGTTCACTCTCACGCCATATTAGATCTTCATGGCTCATACGCA